AATAAACCAAATTTAATATTATATTCATAGGCGGCGATTTGTTTCATACAGTATCATGTTTTACAGTATTTATTTTATATTTTTTATTTTAGCTATTGACTGTTATGTACTGTTTTCATTTGTTACATTCGTAGGTTACTATATCTGTACATAATATGTATTCTTTGTACACATTTTTATTCCTCATACATGAACTACTACGAACAAAATGTATAGCGATGAAAAGTAAAAGAAGTGTTGTACAATTTGTATACTACACCATACTGATATAAAAAAATAATAGATATTATGCGCAGATAGCTTGTTTTGTTAATTATTCCATATAATAAAAAGAGTACATATATATGTACATATATATCTAGAAGAACATAACTATTTATGAAAGTAAAAAAATTAATAATACAATTTATTGTTATGTAATATAGTCAGAATCATTATAACAACAACATTAACAAAAAAAAAAGAATCAAGAAAATTGTATATTTACTTAGGATTAATGAGTCGACATCTTTTGTCATTTGCTTTACCGTGTAATGAATTACTTGATACTACGTCATGCGTGGTCATAATGGCGTTCAGTTTAGTCGCCTTTTCGTATATTGTGGCATTACTTGTTGATGCTTTTTTAATATTTTTTGCAATGTTTCATGTACGTGTACAAAATTTAACAACGACGTTTATTCGTATGTAGTGTTCGGCGGAGTCGTGTGCGAACAAGTGATACGAATTATTTCTAACCTAATTGGATTGTTGTTTCTTTACTAAATTAATTGTATATTTATATTTCAGGTCATTACATTTGATGAATTAAAAACTGGCTATAAAAATCCGATTGAACAATGTAACAGTTTAAATCCGGTGAGACTGAATATTCTCTTTGTCAATTTTCAAATACTTTCACTGTTCGGAAACGGTATACACACATTTTGAACAAGGTTTGCTTATCGTGTATTTACATTTCAGCTAGTTATTCCAGAATACGGTTTACACATTCTCATCAATATTTTGTTTCTAATTAGTGGACAATGGTTTTCATTGCTCTTAAATATACCATTAATTGTTTATCATTTATGGAGATATTATCACAGGCCAGTAATGTCTAAATCAGGTTTATATGATCCTACCAATATACTAAATGCTCAAGTTCTTACAGCACACCAAAGAGAGGGTTGGATTAAACTTGCATTTTATCTCCTATCATTTTTCTATTATTTATATGGGTAAGTTCAGTTAACATCTAACCTAATGATAGACTTTGGATAAATTGTGCTTTTATTTCTTTTCTTTTAGCATGCTTAGTTCATTGATTCAGTGAGGACACTATTTCCTACTATATTTTCGAATATAACAAAACATCTTTAGTGTAATATACTTCACAAATGTAAATCATTTATAGAAAATAAACCTAAATGAGAATGGGAATATCTTGTTACATTGCAATTTCACAATGTAATGCTTTATGCTTCAACTTAAAATGTTAATAATTTTACACCGCAAATGTAGATATACGTATTTTACAATTCAATAAAAATGACTAATCATAATTTTTCAAAATTATGTTCATGGTTATGTTAAGGTTATATATATATATATATATACATATATATGATATTATAAAGTAGAAAGAAATATTTCGAAGACACAGAAGTATTCAGTGGCATCTATGCAGAGTATAAAATTCTAAAAAACGAATATTAAACAATTAACAAAACAGTGAAAGCGCTATAAAAAAGTGAACGGTGGTGCCATCTAGTGACTATACAACAAGGATAGCAATATGTACAATTCTCCAACCCCTCTCGTAAAAGTCCCTAGTTGTCTCCGAAGAAGTTTTTTGGAAATTTCTGAAAAACTACGAAGGAGCAATTAAAAACAATTACAGAATAACAATGGATAATTAAAGAGCATTTGTTTAAGGCATCGCACATTGAGTTAGAGCAATTTTTTGAGTATTTATGCCAATTGATATTTGGCAGCCATGAATGACACGTGCTCTTAGTTCCTTATATATTTGTTTATTTAAAATGCATTGTTTATTGATAAAATTGTTGCGCGTGGAAGGTTGAGCAAATGGTTAGATGAAAAGAGCAATTCTTTGATGAGTTATACAACACGTTTTATACATTATTTCAGAATTTTCGAATTTTTAAAAGTCTCTAGACTCTCATAAAAGTAACTAGGAGTTTCAAAAAGTTTTTTGGATATTTCTCGAAAAGGATAAATTAGTAATTAAAACTAATTAGTGAACAATTATGAGCAATTAAAAAGCAATTTTGTTTAGCTATGTTTCATTAATAGTGGTTTATATGGTGAGCCAGTTCACACGGGTGAAAAATCATAATTACAATAGCCGTTTTTATTGGTGTGGTATCACTTTAAGATCGAGGACGTTATTTTTGAGCCGGTGGTTTCAGAATTTACCCTTGGATTTTTGGTCGAGTGTAATTATTACGAACTTTAATTTATACGAGCTTATCGAACAGTTTTGCGACTCTTGAATATACGCATGCGTATAATTGAAATCCATAGTGCTTTCGGTATTGTAACTGTTACATAGAAGGTTATAAACCAGTCACCACATTAATACATTGTACTCATATCGTTAAAAGACCACATTTATTCATATGTGAAAATTCTGTCTCGTAGAAAAATTATATCGTACCAATACATTTGATTTACTTTAGCAGATTTCGAGAAAATGCCAAAGTCAAAGGAATATGTGTCAACCGACGAGGACAGCAGTGAGGAGGTATTTTACGTAAATAACTAAACAGATAATTTTTACCTTGCATAGAAATAATACTTGAGATTTTAAATTTGTTATTGTTAGAAAGGATATAAAGATATACGTTACACTCCATTATATGAAATATTTACATAATACATTTATTTCGATTGTAAGGATATAAAGCCAAAGAAAAAGCAGAAGAGGACTAGGGAGGCTGATGAAAAGGAGGCAAAACCATCAAAGAAAGTGGAAAAAGAATCTCGGGAGAATGAGGATACAGCCTGGGATCTCGGAAATAACCGTCAAATTAGTGTACGAGACTTTAAAGGGAAACTGTATGTCGATATTAGAGAAATGTACTTTGACAAGGATGCAAACATGAAACCTGGAAAGAAAGGTATGTTGTACACTGTATGTGGTACGTGTACATTGTGGTTAATGATTATGATTTAAAATATATATTAATTATTTTGTACAGGTATCTGTTTGAATATGACACAGTGGCGGAAATTACTATCAGTAGTGGAAGATGTTGACAAAGTAGTCAAATCCAAATGCTAAACGATAAGCCATGTCATCAATCAACAGCGTTAATACAGTTTTCTACTTGCACAGCTACTTGGTAAAGAGAGTCAGTATCTGTTAAGGCTCAATATTTTTAATAAAAAATTATAATTCTGTAAATCTATTTATTCTACAGCCTGTCTCATTTCCTGTACATGTACAGATAGCTTCGCTGTAATGATATTTTTTATTTCTCTGATTAATTTATGATAATTAATTTGACTTCCAAATAAAATTTCATAAAATTCTATGACTGTTCCTAAAAAACGGCGGACTACGTATTGCACTTGTGTTCTATATTAAATGATTAAAGAAGCTTGTAAGAAGAAGGGAAAAGAGGAACTGTAGAAACTGAACAAGATAGAGGAGATAGGAGAAAAGAAACAAATTCAGAAAATGTATTAAATGTCCACTGTATATATGGCTAGATGATAGACTTTTGTTGACACTTTGTTCTCTGTCATTTGGATATTTGGATTGTCTCTATAATACATTGTTACGCAGGTCCGTGAACAGACGTTAAAAATTTCTCCAAGTCTATGTTGTTCAATAGCGTTTGCGGGTCCGTTGTATAATGTCGTTTATCGATCTGAAACAGGTGGCTGTGGTTTGTTTCTGTGTCACGAACAAATGAAATAAGTATTTTAAAAAAATAAGAGTGTGAAAATAATTTGTTCTATACCTGCTTGGTTTCTCTTAGCTCTGGCAACTTTCTTCGGATAATCTTCGCAGTACAATTGTTATCTGAAATTGATGCTGTATTTATTATACGTATTATAAAATAAATGGTTATTGTAACATAAAGTAAATGGTAATTTATCCTTTGTACATACCGGTTTCACGAGTTTTATCAAATTTCGTTTTTTTCCTGTTATTTAATTGGGTTATTTGATTTTTTTCATTTGTCGCATGTACAGTTTTTACAGAGAGTTTTTTCATCTTGGATCTCGGCACCTTATCTACGGGAGACGATGTGGCCAGAGGCTTGCTATTGATATTTGCTATTGTTAACGTAACAGGTGGTTTATCTACGTTTTCGTGGACTTGAATGGGAAATAAATTAGTTTTGACAGGTGATTTTCTATTACCCGATCGTTTTCTCGATTTCGGGGACATGTTAAATATTTCTTCATAGTTGGTAGCGGTCATTACTTTCATGCATTCGTCGCGACTTTGATCGTTCAGGACAATGTTGATTTGAAACTCTAACTCTTGACTACTGTACCTACGTCTCCTTTTCTTAAATGGAGCATTGTCGTCATATTGGAAATGATACTCGACCGAATTAGGCATCAGCGCATTTAGATCAGTCCCACGATTATTTTTGCGTCTGAATTCGGTAGTCGCAGTTGTCGGGATCGATGCAGTCGGCATAGTGGATACGGTCCCACCTGCATGTTCGTTTTTGCAGGTAGGAATCAGCTGCAAACACTGAAGGACGCGCGACAAGCCTTTCGGATTTTCTGACTCGACGCTCTTAGTGGACACTACAACGATATCATTTTCTCCGTTGCTGTTCGTAAACTTGAACGGACCCGAAGTTCTCTGTTCGTTTTCTTCGTCGCTAAACAAATCTCGTTTTACCAGATCCACCTTGGACTTTAAAATGCCGATTGCTTTAATACCGCGACAACTCGGATACTCCTTCGTTCGACGCGTGTTTTCCTTAATTAAATTATTTTCATTTCTTAAAGAATGCTGATCAGACTTGATCTCTTGCGAACCATTATTATCGGCTATATTGCTTGACTCAATTTCTATTGTTTGACGCGTGTTTTCCCTAATTGGATTATTTTCGTTTCTTAAAGAGTGCTGATCAGTCTTGATCTCTTGCGAATCATTGTTATCGGCTATGTTGCTTGACTCAATTTCTATTGTTTTTGTTTCCGTTTGTTTCTTGTCTATGAGAGTCGTGTTAGAAATTTCATTTTTCCTTTCAAACTCGGGCGAATTCAACTGTTTCTCTCGTATGTGAACTCCATCGTTCGTTTCCACGTTGTTCGCATCTTCGCCGATGGTCAAATTTTCCAATGTATTTATCGTTTTGGTAGTCGAATACTCTATAGTTTCCAATGTTAAGGTTTCATTGCACACGATGCTTGTTTCTTCGCTATAGTTTGTTGCTTCGTTGTGTCTCTTTGAATACTCCAAACTACATCTTTCTACTTTTAGCACACCCTGTACAGACGAGTATTTCTTTTTGCCATCGCTATCGTTACGTTCATTATTATTGCTATTATTATCACCAACGACGGTATTGCTGTTAACGTTATCATCGACACTATTACTGTTACCGTTGTTGATGTTGTTATTATTATTGGACTCTTCGGATTTGTTCACTTTGTTTCTTTTAGCCTGTTTCTCCTTAATCTGTTCGCCGTTCTTTCCGGAACGTTTGTATTGACTGCATGCTTTCTTCGAATTGCTATTCTTTTTACCACTTAAAAGAATGCGCGACTGTTGAAGTTTACCACGAGATGAATTGGGCTTGGAGATTTCTCGAAATTTCGCAATTACACGTCGGCGCTTCGCTTCTAATTGCGAAACTACTACTAGTTTGCTACTACTGGAACGCTTTGCCACAGGTTTAGTAGAGAGCTTGTGGCTAAGATATGGATTCGAATTTGAATTCATTTTCGAACTCAGACATTGTATATCAACTATCATAGGCTTCTGCTTTAACTTTTCCGTGGTACACTCATCTACAGGAAAGTCTTCATTCAATTTAGGTAATTTCTCATCCTCCAAAGTTATGAACGCCGAAATTTTTGAAGATAAATTAGTCAGATGTTCAACACCTGCTTTCGAACTGCTGGGAGTTTCCGAGATGTTTGCTTCGTCTAACAGAAATTCATCTTTCGCAGGAGTTTCTTTTGTATCGTTTTTCAAATCTTCATCGTTCTTGAATATCGAAAGTACTTTTGTCGGCGACGATTCGCACTTTCTTAAGGCGATCATAGTTTGTTTTGTATGAGTCGTACACGGTATATCCATAATTTTGACTTTTGGTTTTGGCGAATTAGTTTCTGAGATTAATGTTTCCGAATGTAAAATTTGACTAGAAAGTTTATTGCACTTTTTGCTGGCGGGTGATTTGTCCGTTGCGCTCGTGGCTTTTGAACGATTTAAATTAAATGGTTTTGAAGCTAATGCAGACAAAGACGTCGGTGAAGAAGAGAACGAAGAGGAAGAAGAGGAAGATGAAGAGGAAGAGGAAGATGAAGAAGAGGAAGAAGAGGAGGACGAACACGATGCAACAGAGGCTGTATCATTGTCGTTCGATTCTTCCTTGTTTAAGACTGATTTATCATCCTCGATTGGTAGATGTTTGTTTTTCGCCAAAACAATGTTTACAGCTTTATCCTTTGCACAATCGGATTTGTATTTCGCATAACGAATCGGCGAATCAGCCAGAGATATCTTAAATTCTTTCACTGCTTCTTCTTTCGGTAGATTCTCTTTGATCACTTCGAATTGTGTTATCTCTAATTTTGCTGACACACAGGTTTGATAGGTGTTCGTCGATTTCTTGATATCATGGGACGACGATACAGATTGCATCGAAACCTGTGACACTAATTTAGATGAATTCTCGAAATTATTCCCTAGTTTAGGTATCTTCGATGATTTATCCAAATGTTCGTCTTGCTCGGACGTTGGTTTATAGTATGGAGAACAACTGTGAAATGCTTCTTTCTCTGCGTCCTCTGCGGTAATACTTTCGTTTGAGAGTTTTGGAGTTAATGCTATGCAAGGTGTTCTCGGAAATTCCGGCGTGTTTATGAAACTACGTATCTTACTGGAGTCCTCGTTAATTTTTGGAAACAGGGTTGCGTTACTGCTGGGGCTGAGCAATCTTGGTGTCGGTGGTACTTCGGAATTTTGAAATTTTCTTGGTGTTTCCAGAGCCATTAAATTGGGTATTTGTTGCTGTAGCATCTGCTGCGCGATATCCACGGAAGCCTTTGCCAAATCTGAGCATTGATGCAAAGCATCCAAAGACGTTTTCTTATTGGAATTACATTTATTCAAATTGGTTTCCAATGTTTTCAACTGTGCGTATTTCTTTACAGGCTTCTGTTCGTTAGTTGCCTCTGCGGTTTTCGATGATTGGCGCTGCCGCTGTTCCTCTTCCGTTTCTTTGTGAACAGGTTTAGTATTATCATCGTCGTGCCGGTGAACATCGTGACTAACTGGCTTCAATGCACCGATCTCGTTTTTCGCAACAACGTTACAAGTAACAGTATCATTTTGGACCGATGAGGCAACGATTTTATTGATTGTAGTGTCGTTTGAAAGAAGACTACTTTGACTGGTTTCTTTGAGAATCCGTGACGCATCTTTCCTTTTAACTTTTCGCGATGCTACCGTCTTATCTTTTGTAGACTCGACTCTTTTGATTTTTGGCAATTTCGAAACTTTTCGCGTCTTCCGGCACTCTTCTGTCGGGATTTGCAAAGATTTTCGCAAATCTGCATCCCAAATGTTATTTGTTTTCGTCGTCTTGGGTCGAGTTTTACTGTTAGTTTCGCTCGAGGCCATTATGGGCGCCGCATTTTGATTCGACAAATCTTCTTTGTTGTCGATAATTATACCCACTCCGTTACATTTGTCCCAACCACCAATAAGTTTTGGCTCGGGTTCCTTCGTTGCAATGGGAAGCTTGGATGACAGTCGACAATGTCTCAATGGACTTTTCAGTTTATGCGTGCTCATTGTAACGTGACTGGAGAAAGACGGTGATCTGAACAGAGACGTTCTGCGCACGGATTTAAGGTGTTTTGCTGGTCCAGATCTAGACGAGAGACGAGTATTCTCGTTCTTCTCGATTAAATTATTCGACATGATCATCATCTTTGACGGAGTATTAAAATCGAGTGCTCTTACGTGATTGCTTCTCTTTCTGGGCGTCGATAAACTTAATCTGTGATTCTTCGATCTACTTCTCAGCAAAGATCTAGGTGTGCGTTTATTGATGATATCGTGGTCTGTTGTCTTCAAATTGGAAGTAGAAGGTTGTTGATCATCGAGGCCAATGGTTGTATGTATCGTGTCAGCAATCTGCACGTTTTGGATGACGGGCGTCAAGTCGATATCCGACAAGCTTTGATTCTGATTATTTTTATTGCAATTGAACTTTATGTACGGAGACAGCTCCGTGCCTGACAAACTGATGCTATCTTCTAAGTTTATCGTGGGTAAATTCGAACTATCCAATAGAGTTTTTGCACTGTTTTCATTCCCGTAAAGAGTAATCGATTCCTCAGTGAGAAATTTATTAGTAGTTGCAATTTCGGCGTTATTGTTGCTACTACTAAACACATCAGGATTTGCGACCGAATTATCAATGATTCTAGATGTACCTTTCGATGTACAGTTCATTTTAACGAATCCTTTCTGACATGCTTGTAAAGCTGCGTTCGCGCAAACAATTAAATTCTTCGACTCGTTAAGAGTGTTGGAAATTGGTGCTTGTACTTTTTGAGCTACATTCACAGTCTTTAAATACAACGTTGTCGCATCTTTAGGCATAATAGGAACAAAGCGGGAATTGCTAATGGACGTAACGTTAGAACTTGCAGTGAGCACGTTGCTCGGCTCCTGCTTCGAGCATACTATCAACATTGGCATTGTCATTATATCTTGATCGTGTTTGTGTTCGTTCATTCTATTGTTGACTTCTGTCTCGTGTTTTGGCTTTGCGACACGCGATCGTTTCACCGATGATTTTTTCATTTTCGATTCAACATCATTACAGTGAACAATTGCATCGTTATTATTGCCATTGCCATTACTATTACTATTACCATTTTCATTATCATTGTTATTGCCGTTTGTATTGTTATTGTCATTACCACAGTCTTTTTCGGTATCAATGCGTACTGATTTCATCTCGGTTATCTTATCCTTGTTCGGAAACTGTTCGGAAATTGTCAACTTCTTTTCACTTTCGTTTTCCAAACGTACATCTTTCGTAACATCTGAGACTTTTTTGTCATCCGATGATTTACTACTGATAATATTTGCGTTTATTATACTTAGAATCGCTGCAGCATTTTGATCTTCTAGAGCATTGTGTTCTTTCTCTTGATCGCGTAGCTCGTCTTCAATGCGAGCATTTTGTTGTCTCGATGAACTGCGAAGTCTATGTTTTAAGGGTACTTCTACAACATCTTCCGCTTCCGTCTCGTTTGATAATTTTTCTACTATCCAAGACGTCCCGAGTTCCACTGTATTCGTTTCTTGTTGCTTTTCTCGGGAATCATTCGAAAGTTTCGCTTTTGGTTTGACTTCCATATCTTCGTCCGGACTCGTGTCGGTTTCTGTGTATGGCCCAATTATTTCATCGAGAAATTTTTCAAATATTGGATCAGATTCCGTTGCTTCAACTATAGATTTAATTGCGTTATTCGACTCGATCACAATAGAGGAGTTTGCTTCGCAGTTGATCGTATCATTCAGAATTTCGTCTTTCGCAGATATATCTGTTGGTAGTATAGCTTTATTAATATTTTCTGCAATACGTTCTTGTAACTCAGTACGATTTAAAAGCTCTTTTGTCAGTAACTGTGAACAATGAAAAGTTATTTGATTAACAATTATTTCACTCTTAGATAGAATGAGTTGAAATTAGTTAGATTTTAGTATCATACTTACACTGAGATTTTCTATAGGTTCGTCATTGGTTTCTGATTCGGATTCGTGTGTATCATATGGAGTGGTCTGAACTTCTGCGCACGAATAACTTAATAACTCTTCTGTGCTTGTAGCTGCGCTACATTTTTCAAATGTACAGAAATTTCCTATGTTGTCATCTTTGAATGCATTATCACCAAGACCATCCGTTTCCATGTTTCTATCATCTTGATCGCCATCTGGGTCATCGGACATTCAAATGATATATATATATATATATATACATAGCTGTCAGCTCTCATATCCTTAATCAATGGAAATTTTAGCGTAACCGACTACCTCGGTACTTTTGTTGACACGCATTGTGGTCTTCCCCCTTTGTGTAAGCATCATAGTTGGATCGACATGACGTGACAGCATGACCTGGTAAACTTTCTAATAGCGTTGCTTCTATGCTGTCGGAACCTACCATTACGATAGAGGACAATAATCTGTGAATGAGTAACCAATAACGAGTGAAAACTCGTTGGAGGAAAGTTATCAAGATGAACGAGCAAACCTATAGAAACTGGAAATTCCAACTGCTGGGATGCATTTGATACTACTTTTACACGCTTGCATCGTTCACGATCACTGTTGCTATGACGTCTTTTACGAACGTTACTGGATATTATTGGAGATCCATTACTTATTTGGGCATTAGCCTGTAAACATTTTATCATTGCACATTTCAATGTACCAATATGAATTAGTGTTGATTTTGTTCTATCATTATCATGACAAACAATTAGGATTTATTTACCTGTGAAGGAACATTTATATTAACTACAAATCGTTGACCACGCGTTTCTTCAACAAGAAATTTTAATTGCTCCAATGAATCCCCACAGTGTCTCAACTGATCGCAATCTGCAATTTTGCTGAGACGCTCTTGAACTGCATAAATGTAAGAAGATTTTCAAACCAATCGAATGCTGAGCAAACAAATATACAGTTGCATCTGTAAATACTGTGATAACATTCAAATCCAACCAACTTACTTGCTGCAGTGATTGCAAAAAATTTTTCTATGACATCCATTAATGTCATTCCACCTACTCTGGTGCTGAATCGTCTTCCCTTGGATAGTACTGTACGACATTCTTGTAAGTGCGGTGACGTCTCTAAAAATGTTTTGGCAGCTTCGACACATTTTTCATCTTCAAGGTATCCTAAAATCAAAAGAATTGTTTAATATCGAAAAGGAAGAGATAAATTGAAACTTATCCAACTCGTCGTTGAAATTATAATGTCGAAATCGTAATATATTTTAAATGCTATTATTTAGATAAGTTATGTTGATGTGTTGCATTAGGAAAATATTTAAGTTTCCGCTGCAAAGCAGGTTATTGTAACAAATCGTTGTGTGACATTGTCGTATGAAATCTTTACCAAGAACAAGTCGTGCTACTTCCGACGGCAACAATGTTTCCATACTGGTTCGTTTCAAAGTTTGATACCTTTACCGAGTAATTCTTAACAGTTCAAGCGAGAAAATATATAAACGCTTACTACAATATTATGCATCAAATAATCTTGAACAATCTGTATGTTCGCGGGAAACAAAACGAGGGCTCCCTCATGCGCTTGACGCGCTGGTTTCCCCTTCCAAGCGCCTATTTTCCTACCGATCAAATACATATATGTATATATAGATATTACATATACATGACGATAGCAAGTATGTATGTGCTATGTTCGTGGAGAACATAGCATGTGAAATTACACTGGTGAGCAATAGTGGCAATAGTGGCCTTTATAGTAGTGGAAATCAAGAAGCTAATTCAGGATTCGTACAGCGCCAATTAGTAAATGGAAAAATGCTGAAACTGTTAGCCAAACAGTAATTGTTTACAGTCCATTCAGCGCCAATTAGTATAGCGGTAAATCGCTGAAATTGGTAGACAAAATTACCGATAGTCGATCTTAGCTAACAGTTTGAGCGTTTTGCCATTTACTAATTGGCGCTGTATATAGGCCAAAAGAAGCTTCTTAATTTTGTCGCAAGAGGCGCCACAATCGTTCATATCTGCACAATGTAGGACTATTTAAAAACATTAATTCTGACAAAATTAGGCAACAAAAAAGTAAACTATGATTTAGAAGTAAACCACTGTTCAGATAAATCTGCAGCATCGATATCGTGTAAGAAAACCATGCAACAACAACACGAAATATAATTTATTAACATAATATTTAACAAAATTTCAAAGCAATTAATTATGTTTCGCAATGCTTTCATTTGTTTTTTATATGATATCAGTGCAGTAATTTTTCCTGAACAATTCTGATCCTAGGTTTATTTTTTTTATGCTGTACTTTTGTCACTACTAATGTTTTTCGGGTACCCTCCATGATGTATATGACAGGAATTTAGTTCGGTATATCCGCCGTTGCTGTTACCGCTACAAACAGGACCGCCATTCGCTTTTCTGCTATTTTGGTTATTCATATGTATGTACACATTTTGTTAAATGTGTATTTATTTTGTGATTTTGACCATGGTCTTTTATTGTTCATACATTGGGGTATCAAGTAATACTTTAGCATATTTAAAATATATTTTTACTGTGTAGATTATACGTGTACATACATATCTGATGCAAACTGAATACTACATCATATATATAACATCCTCTTCTGAAGTATAATTTATTTAATTTTTATACACATATTCATGTTATTTTAATATATTCGTAATTTTCAAAATCATCTTTCCCTTGACAGAATAAAGTAGAGTTTTGAATAAATATGAGTTAGTATGCATACACGCATAGCATTATGCTTGGTTAATGTAAAAGATTCATTTGAAAATTTTAGTAAGCGATAAGTCATTTTTGATCGTATGTATTTTAAGAAACAACTATTTTAAATATACCGTCTGATAATTAGGAAAAATTCCGACCCAAGGACCTATTTATTATTACATGACACTATTCTGTTTACAGCCTTGCAAACATGGGAAACTGGCAAATGGAAGTTGGAAGAATGGTATTGTATATTTTATTTCCAGTAGGTATCTTCCATTACACTAATCGTATTTACAATATGGAAGAGTGGTTAATTGATCAGAAAGAAAAGTCTTTACCTACAGATGAAAAGAGACACAAAGAATTTTTGAATTTTATAGAAGACTATAATAAAACCAAGCAATTACAACAACTTCAGGAAATGGAGCAACAATATATTGAAATGAAAACAACATACCTTACTGAAGTCTGAAATAATATCCATCACTTAGTGTCTTGTAAATATAAAGATAAAATAAAATATTTTATAGGTACATGCAGATTCACTGCACAGCAACATATATATAGGTTTTGTTTGTACGTGAATAATAGTTAATAATTGTGACAGAACCATGATTTGGTACATGCAATTGTTATATGTACATATATACAAAACAAAAAATGTAATAGTTTTATTGTTTCATTTATGTTAAACACGTTCATATTTCCCTATGCATATATCGTACTTCTGATCTAGAAAATACATAATAATAATTCTAGTAATCGTAACTCCACTATAAACACACTTCAAATGTACAATATTTTTCCTAGGTTTTATCGCCGTTTTAGCTTTTATCATCCATGTTCTATGTTCTTATTGCCGCACCAACATAAACATACTACAGTTATAAATGAGATTCGAAACGTTTTCTTTCTAAAATATTTGTGAAGAGAATTATTCGAAGAAACGAGGAAGTACTTACATACGTACTTAGTATAGATCAGTGTACATGTACACACTTGTCTACCATAAAACTGTAATACATATAACACCTTTTTGCTAGTTTACTCATACATATGTTACATATTTATGTAATTTATGGCTTGTTGCCAATACAGTGTAATTAAAAGGGTTTGGATGTATCTACATGCTCTGCATATATATATTGTGTATGTATCTAACTGTTATTTGTAAAACTCCAATAGATGGTGCGCATAGAGTAACTGTATATATATGTATAAATGTACCTACACAAATATAATACATGTCGTATCGTTTTCTCACCGTGCTGTATTCTACATGTCCTATCGTTTCTCATGATTCGAAGCTGAAATCTCTTCAAGAGAATAGAAAGTATATTCATACACCTACAACATATTAACAATATGACGCAAGTTCGGTATACTCGTAATTTATTTTTACGTGGAATATGTATTATATACCTATTTGCGAATCTTAGCTTTTACATACAAATTCCAGGTGAGCATTCGCAAAATTTTCTTTTCGATATCTTTTCATTGCCTTTATGTTTTTGTTATACCTGAATAACCTTATCATTCGGCTTTAGCTTAATTTAAAAAATTTGCTTGACGAAATACAATGAACACAAGAGAAAAAGACTTCTTAAATACATTGATATGGACATATTTATTAATGTTTGTATTTGTATGCTGTCGATAAAGGATTATACGGTGATAATGGGATTCTACCGGTCCGGACTCAATTGGATCTAAAAGGTCGAACTCCTTTATTACATAAATTAAAACAAAAACCAACATTAGTGTGGTTTGCCCCATACCTTGGATTAAATCTGGAATATATGTTGGATATATTAGCGCTTTCTGGTGTCGTTCTCTCATTCATAGGGCAAGTGTATTCATGGTTTAGTTTATTAGCTAGGCAAATGAAATATAATAAAGATTCTGTTCTCATTGCAGGTTTGTCTCACAAAAATTTTGTATCACATTGGTGTTTGCGTTACTTTGGCTATTATATTATTCTTTGTATCAAATTGGGCAGACGTTTATGTGGTTTCAGTGGTAAGTATTTAATATTATTCATAATCAAAGATACTTTTGATGCATTACTATAATTTAGCAATTATATACTTTTTTATGTACGTTTAAGGGATGTGCTCCTATTGGAAGCAGGATTTCTATGTATATTAGTAGCACCATTTTGGTATTCGCACCATGGAAAAGTAAATACACCCAGTGATACTATTCCATTTTGGACTATACGTTGGTTACTTTTCCGTCTGATGTTTTCCAGTGGTGTGGTGAAACTTACTTCCGGTTGTCCAATATGGTGGAAATTAGATGGTATACTTGTTTGGATACAGATAAAAATTGAAAAAATACAAGTAAAGAAACTAATGTATACATATATGTTTCAGCTCTGAGCGTACACTTTGAATCGCAATGCATACCCACTCCATTGGCATGGTATGCACATCACTTGCCAACTTGGTTCTTACGCTTAACCACTGTTTTTGTAAATATCTTTGAACTCGTTATTCCATTTTTATTTTTCTTCCCAAATAGAAAAGTAAGAATAACAGCCTTTTATACACAGGTAAGTAACTATAATTGAAATATCGTTTACGATAACAACGTTGATCTCCGATTTATTCGATAATTTTCGGATTTCAGATATTTCTTCAAATAAATATCATAGCGACAGGAAACTACAACTTCTTCAACTTTCTGACCATCTGTTTATGCATTTCATTACTGGATGATCAATTTTTTTACAAAAGAAAATCGAAAAATGATTCACACAAACTTGTCAAATATCTTTCGACGATATTGTGTATTCTTGTTTATGCAGGTATATTGTATGAAACGTATGTGTATTACAGTATCGAGTTTACGAAAAATTGGACGGTACAGAGCAACATAGGTACTTATGCACGTATAATTGATTGATCGTTTTTCGTTAAGACTGGTGATTTTAACATTTTGTTTTGTTTTTTAGCGTTTACGCAAGAACAGTTTAATCACGTCTTTTCACGGGCGATTCCAGTGTCTATCTACATAGGTATAGCGTCGCTTAGCTTGACAATAGCAGATGCTGTAATGAATTCTTTGATAACTGTGAAAGGTGTACGAAACAAAATAACTACGACTTTAATTACGGGTCTATATACGGTAGCAGTTTGTTCCATGTTTGCTTTAAGCATCGTAAGTGTCTAGATTAGATTGTTAAACGCTTAAGAATACTAGGGAAGAAAATGAAAAAGAAAGATGTCGTTTGCTTAGGTACCATATACTGCATTGCATGAATCTCACAACACGACGGTACTAAGCCGGTTAAAGCAAATTCAAGGAAAAGTTGAACACCTTCGTTTGGTGAACAGCTATGGATTGTTTAGACGTATGTCCGGCGCGGACGGCAGACGGGAAGTGATCATTGAAGGAAGCAATACTATCGAAGGACCATGGAAAGAGTACGAATTTTTATACAAACCAGGGAACGTGAATAATTCGTTGCCTTTCGTCGGTAAGTCAAGCATTGTTGCTATTGCTAGAAAATTTCTTAAAAAGATTCAAGTTCTAACTTACAGTTAAATGTTAATTAAAATATCGTAATATTCAGCTCCTCATCAACCACGTCTCGATTGGCAAATGTGGTTTGCCGCATTGGGCACCTATCACCAAAATCCATGGCTTATGTCGTTGGCCTATCGTCTCTTGAATGGTCAACCGGAAGTATTAGCCTTGATGAATAATGTAGAGAGTCCATTTCGCGACAAGCCGCCAAAGTATATTAAAGCTAGTCTTTATCGTTATCATTACACTCCGTGGAGCCAGCAGTAAGTATATTTCTAATTGTTTCACATATGTAAATATACTTATGGTACGAACAGGAGTTCAGTAAGCCTCTATTACACATTTACTTTTGTTTGTTACACATTTATTTTTGTTATTTAGATGGAACAAACAAGCTTGGTGGACGAGAGAAAAAATAGAGGAATATTTTCCGACATTCAGTCGTGATCACCCGCCTCTTATCGAGTATCTCACACGCATGAAAATTATTCAAGACAAGCCAGCTTTCAAGGTTACTAATGAACCACTGAAACTGCTCCTCGACAGTATCAGGTCCATAGTCTGTAAAATTGAGGCTAGTCTTCTTCTGTGGGGTGTTTACACCGCAGGTTGTGCAATCATTATGACCAGCTATAATACTTCAACTTCAAAGAAAAAGTAATTACATCCGAGTAAGTTTTTAAATCGCGAAACTGTTTCAAACAACAGAGATAACAATTAGTGACAACAAATTCTGTACAATCAATAGAACGCACAGTTCGTACGGCGAGTAAACACTCTTAATGATATACTTAGATTATCCTCTACTTTTACGAATACACAATATTTTGTTCTTGTGTTTGTTGCAATTGATACTTGTGTAAAAATGCTATTTTTACGAAATTATTCATACAATATGTATATACATATAATACACTAAATCTCTTGCGTGCATTTTATACTAACTGTCGATGAAACGGATGTTTGGACTGAAGTAAAGAGATTACATTTCACTTACCTGTATCTATCGAACTTATGCTGTTTACATTTTAGTGGTTTTTGTACAAATTGTAGAACTTTCGAACTATTGTAGCGCGTGTGTTTATTCAGTATTGTTGGTACACCACATTTACGAGTTCCAAATCGTTTCGTCAAGGGAAAAGAAACTTTGCGTACTCTTGTACCGTTCCTTCCAGTCTTTGAACAACGCATTGTTGCATCAACAGATATAATTCACTTATCGGAATTACTAATTACTAATTACTAATAGAATTATTATTATTCTTAAGATTGTAAGTATAAGTTACCTGTATTGAAATTCAATACAGAATTGATGAAGAAACACTTCTTTAAATATTTCCATTTGTTCCTTACATGACACATACATTTAGATGACTAAAATATCCAAGTGTTTGTGCGAATCACACAAATTATTTCCCCCAGCAGTGTCTTTTACCCAGAAGCTAAACTTTGGCTCCCACATATTGGTATTATATTCATTCATAATTATAAATCCATGGTACTGGAACTTATTTACTTTTGTCGCATATTTCAAACTTTCTAATTTTGCACGGGCTTTTTATTTCTGGTGGTTCGGAAGTTTCTCTCTTCGATCTAACGTCATTGCATGAAAAACTGTCTATAACATAAACTTGAGGTAACGCGGTCTTTGACAGACCGATTGGATATTTAAATAATTGTTCTAAACGCATTTCCAATAAATTTAACGATCGTTGACATCTCTTTGACATGGTGACAAATTTTGGTAAATTATTGTATTCTTCGTTGAATCGTTTCAACCTTAATAATCGTTGAAAACTGAGTAAAGTTGCGTGTGTGGTTTCAATTGCGGATATAGATTGATCTTTTGATGTCTCAATGGAAGCAGATGCTAATTCGTGCATCGTTCCAAACGCGTTGAACGGTGTAGTATTTATCATGGCATTTTTGTTTTGCGACGTTTTCAAATTTATAGAACTGCGAACATTGCTTGGTTCGAACAAAGCATTGCCGTTGCCTTTTGAACAAAAGGTCGATATTTCTTTCATTGATTCGTTGTAGCATAAGCTGTTCCTATTGCCGCTATTCTTGATGTTGATGTTCGACTTTGTGACCTGAGAGGGAAATGAATAGATATCTCTCTGCACAAGCAGTCGAGCGAGTTTCCGAAATTCTAATTCCTCTTCCCAGCCACCGATATGAGAAATCACATTGTCCGGAGTATCGATGACCATCGTTTGTTCAGCTAAGAAGGTATTTTTTGTGCCTTCATGATAGTCTATGCATTTTGTTTCATTTGGAGATTTGTAGTTTATTTTAGGCTGAAAAGAACATGATAATATATTGTCATAATTTTCTTTTACATTGTTTAAACCAAACATAAGGGAGCTACACTTCTCTAGTACCATACATTGTCTCCTCTTGCTATTTTTCATATCTATGTATTTCTTTAATGAAAATAAAAGTTGTTTGTGCCTGTCGTCTAATAATGATTTGTTAATTGCATCGTCGGGTATACAAAGTTCAGCATTTAGTAGTTGTAAAATATCATACAACTTTTTTGCATGGCACTCAAGTGTATCTGATTTATAAGACTGTTGTCTGTGATTTACTGATCTTTCTGTTCTTTGTTCTTTACGGAAATACTTGATCAATTCCTTATCAAAGTCGTCATTAAAGTTATCCATGATCTGATCAGAGTTTTTATTCTGCTTTTGTGGCTCTATTACATTATCCGAGTGACCGGGATGCAAATCATAAACAGATCTACCTTTGTTAATATACCTTTGTATTGAGGCATGTCGATGTCTTAATTGTGTCCTCGTTTTACATGTAATTGTGCTAGCTATTTTAGACCAATTTGGACCAAAACGTTCAAAAAGTTTCAACAGTTTCAAATCTTCATCTAGCGACCATACGTTCCAATTCTTTATTTCGCTGTTAGTCAACGTTTGATAGCGATCGTGTAGTTGAACCGTTGATCTGTTGGGCATCAATGCAGCTGATATTTTACGAAAATTTTTACCATACTTACTGACTGCATCTTTTAAAAGATTATCCTCTGATCGACTGAATCTGCCTTTGGTCAGATGTGGTGCCAAACTATAAGTCCATCGAAAATACACTTGTTGTTTGGTTCTATTCTGCATCCAACTGGCTACTTCGCCCCATGGAATAAAATCACCGATTTGAAATGCTCTGACTAATTGTAAAAGTCTATCATCCTCTTCATTTAACCATACACAATTTTTTATTTTAGGAAATTTCCTTATTGTATTATATCTGATGAAACACTGATAAGCAGTACGATTTGTATTTAACTCTAATGCAATTCTGTCCCAGTTTTGAAATTTATATCTCTTTGTAATTTCTTTTAACTTAAGATCTTCTAACTTTGTCCAGCAACTTTTATTAATCCGAGGATGAAGATAAACATTCCACATAACTCGACAATCCAGTGGCGAGTGTAAATCCTCGAGATAAGTAGACGATATTTTAAACCAATCAAAATTTGTTTCTTGCAACAGGACAGTCAGTTTTTCTTCGTCTGTGACCAACAACATTTTTTTTTTATTTTTTTTTCCATTAGATTTCCAATGAGGTTTATCTGTTGATTCATTTAACATGTCATAAACCTTATTAGGAGTTGTAGTAGCTTCTGTCTGTACTGCTCTAAACAACATATTCCTTTCTCTGATTGTCCAAGGAGTTACTTTGGGAAGATTCCTGAGTTGTAATTCTTTATGATTTTCTTTCAATGTTTCGTCATCGTTGTTGGAAGCAAAAAAATAATTTCTGTCCTTAAAATAAGGCATACCGGCATTGCAAATTAAAGCTCTTGAATCTCCAGTTACATGTTTTTCAAGGCTTGACTCTATTACTGTCAATTTCTTCTCACATTGTTTAAGAGCATAGGTTATCTGTTTTTTCAAATCAAGCAAAAAAGAAATGATCTGTTTGTTGAAATTCAATAAATTATTGCAGTCGTCGATATCATTTTCCGAAAGCTTAGTTTCCTCTTGATATTCTGATTTCTTTTGAAATGTAGAATCTTTTGAAAACACTTGCGACTTACCGCTCATTACTGGTTTTTCCACTATAGAAGTACATGGAAACTTCTGCTCAGTTTTTTGTCTGGGAGATGTGTTTTTTAAAAGGATTTCCATCAAATCATCATCGTCTATTAGTTTGTCCATAATTAATCAAAAGTGGATTTCTTACAAAAAGCGAAACACACAGCCACACGCAGCCATCAACTACAATCAGCTACCAACTATGATCAGCTACAATCAGCTATGCATACCTATACAAATGTACGATACGTACACATATCTATACATATCATATACGTATGCAAACGTACCTACATACAATTTTATACAAATATGTCATATACATATAGGCATGCCATATATAACATAATTTAAATACATATACATAAAGGCTAAATATCGGTCGAAACACTCAAAACATACATGCGCATCGTAGTATAGTTTATTATATTTAGTTATTGCGATAAGACTAATTACGTAAAATCAAAATTAATTTGAAAGTAAGACATTGTATTTACATACAATTAAAGTCGAAATTGTAGGAGTGAAATTAGATAAAAAGTTGGGAATAAACGAATTGTGCGATTAGCATAGAAAATTTGAAATTTTCAGAAATTGCAGAAATGACAGAAAATATCATACGTTTAAAATAAGTTTTGAAGAAAACTATATTTTCAGATCGTTTTCCCGCAAACTACTATCGTAATTGTCAATCGATTACTAAAGCATATAATATGAAAATGCAATATAATAAACGATCATACAATAAACATCAATCTATAATAATTCAAGGCTGGAATCTATTGTTTCTCGACAATCGACACTTAAAGGTAAATTTACAATGAAATAAGAAACAAAACAATACAGTAATGAGTGAATTTTGACATTTAAACGGAAATTGTGCACATATGTTTCCGCTGTAGCTTCTGCGGAACGGTGCATGCGCAGTTTCTATGGCCTGAATATGTCGGCTGGGTAAAGTACGTTAAATGTTATCATGACCGAAAGTATTTCCTTTGGTTAAGTACATTGGCGCTAAGTTGTTACGAGAATTGTTGCAATTCTGAACAATTGACGATTAAGAATACCATTTATAGAATTAATACGGAATTTGGAATTTGTTGTATCGTTCATTCGAAAATTAAATAGTAGAGAAGACCTTATGTCAAGACGGTTCGGTGTCGAAAGAACCGACGACGTATGCCAATATGAAGAAACTTTTTTCAAAAATAGAAAACACATCGAAAGAACCAAACAGTTATTTAGGAAAGGTCTTTGTGGTAGGACGTTACACAGTGACTGTTGAAGATGTTTTGGCGGAAGGTATGTACGCGTTCCCTTGTTTCAACCTTGAATGCTCATCATTCTTATTATGTATTCAATCATCTTTTTTCATATATTACACACGTGTCCTTTGCCGATGGAATTGTTCATAAAATATTTAGTAAAACAAAATAATTACATCAATACCGATACTCTGCATTCAACAAATTAATTATGTCAAATGTAGCATATTACTGTTTTTTTTCTTTTCCTTACATATGTAAGGTATTTCTTACTTATATAAAAGAGGTAAAGTGAGTATGTACGTATACGTATACACATCACATCAACCATATGTAAGAAAGCATTCACACACATATGACATATACATAGCATGCACACACATATGTCATTTTATTATTATGTAGGGTAATGTATAATAACAAGTATATAGGGTACAAGATTTAATTTTCATAAGAAAATATCTTACAGATACAGACAAATTTTATTTACTATTGATGGGCTGACTGAAAGAAATATAATTGTGTAATGAATAATAAATGTTGACATCTGTATCATGTAAATATATTTATCTTGTTTTAGGAGGATTTGCTATTGTGTTCCTGGTTAAATCTTCAAATGGACGTTATGCGCTTAAACGCATGTATGTCAACAATGAGCAGGACCTCAATGTTTGTAAAAGAGAGATACAAATTGCGGTCAGTTTTGTATATTGCAGTATTTTTGTTTATTGAAATTTTAAAAATGAGTGCATTTTATGTTTCTTTAATTAAATACTCAAATCTTTAGAATATTCATATAGACTATTTTATTTGTAGAGTAATTTGAATGGTCATAAAAATATCATAGGATATGTGGATAGCAGTATAGCTCACATTGGTGGCGGTGTTCATGAACTGTTGCTTTTAATGCCTTATTGCAAGTCTCAAGTTCTACAGATAATGAATAACAGGTTAATAATGACTGGTATAAATTTCATGTAAAGTGTGAAAACTAAGAAAAATGTGATAAATTGTTGGAAATTATTACAGGTTACAAACTGGCTTTACCGAATCTGAAATTTTGCAAATATTTTGCGACGTTTGTGAAGCTGTTTCTAGATTACATCATTGTCAGACCCCGATAATACATAGAGATCTAAAGGTTTGTCTTTCCATTATTTTTTGTTAATCTTACAAACGAAAACCCGACCATATCTTTTATTAGTTTACCCGAGATTATACTCATTAGGTGGAAAATATATTGTATTCCGATGCTGGTCATTATGTTTTATGCGATTTTGGTTCGGCAACAGCGAAAGTTCTTAATCCCAGTGTGCAGGGTGCCGCCATAGTTGAAGAAGAAATTAAGAAGTATACGACTCTTAGTTATAGAGCACCCGAAATGGTTGATATGTATTCTGGGAAATCAATTACAACAAAAGCCGATATATGGGTATGATAAAGTATCACAACAGTTCAACATGTTGGATTTATTTGCGAAATTGATTGAAGAATGTGTGAATGGTTCCAGGCGCTGGGTTGTTTATTATATAAATTATGTTTCTTCACATTGCCGTTTGGAGAAAGCATGCTCGCTATTCAGTCAGGAAATTTCACTATACCCGACAATTCGCGGTTTGTATTTTCCACATATTTGTACATGTATATTTGTATATATGCATACCTACATATATGTGTATGCGTGTATACGTGCATGTATTTATGCGTATGCATCTATATATATGTATATACATGTGTACATGTATACGTATATTTGTATAATAGAATGTACTTGTAACACTTTACATGACGAAACTATTCGAACAACACTCAACTTTATATAGATATAGTAGAAGCCTTCATTGTCTGATTCGTTATATGCTTGAGCCGGATCCTGATAGCCGCCCTGACATTTACCAAGTTTCTGTGATTGCTTTCCAAATCCAGGGCAAGGAGTGCCCTGTACAGAACTTACATGTAAATATTCTCACAAGTTACTCATAAATATTTTTAAGTTGGATTATATTGCCGAAATGAGTTCAAGTTCGTCGATCACTCTTTTTCTTTATAGAAAGTACCAGCTCCAGTTTTGGAATCATTACCCTACCCATGTACGGAGTCTGAAAACGTAAAAAGATCATCGCTGGTGAAAACACCAAAGCCGTCTCCTGTAACTACCGTCGAAGGTACTTCGGTAACGCCACGACAACGACCAAAAGGACAGGTTGTAAGCACTGGCCCCATAAGTTTAAGCGGGCAGATCGTCAGTCAAATTTCTGGTCAGGGAAATCAATCGCAGTCGCAACAGCAACCTCAATCGCAACCGCAACCACAACCGCAGTCACAGCCGCCACCGCAGACGCAGCAGCAACCGCAGTCGCAATCACAACCGCAGTTACAGTCACAATCGCAGCCACAGCCGCAGTCACAGTTACAGTTGCAGCTGCAATCACAAACTGCGTCGCAAACGTACATAGGACAGAGCGTGCAACAAAATGTTCAATCACTGGCAGTGAACGCGAAAATGGCTCATCAAGCGACGCCACCGTCATCCTTTGCGCAAGCTTCTTCCGGTTCATTTTGTCAATCGCAGCAGGGTCAACAATCGCAGTACAGTCAATCACAAAATCCTATCGTCGGGCATTCTCCGGTGACTGTCCCGGAGAAAAGTCAATATTACTTCGACTCGAAGACTGGGAGCAACGTGAACGAAGATAATTTGGAAGCGCTCTTTCCACCATCGGGTGAATTATTTTATTTAATATTGCGTCCAGTCAAATGCTGTATGCGACACGATGTCCATAATCGACACGTGATACTACGTTTACCATTTTTCAGGGTACCCGGATCCGTTCAAGGATGATGCACGAACTATGCCACCACCTGCAAAAATACCGCCCCCTGTAGCTCCGAAACCCGCCAAATCACTCCCTAAAGTGTCCAGTATTTCTTCTACTTCTAGTTGTCTGCCTCCAATGTTCCCACCCGTTACCCCGTTGGCATCGAAATTGAACATTCCAGTGGGATCCGGTATGGTAGCTCCTCCCACAGCACCACCCACATTACCGAAACCAGTGAACAAGACGGAAAGTTTAAGTCAGCATATAAGTCTGAGCACTTCTCCGCCCGATAGTCCGACGGTATTGTCTTGCGTACGTCACAGGAGAAACGTTAGCGATACAAGTGCTTTCAACAAGTAGGTCTTGTTCACTTTATTCTCCTTTTCATTCTCTTTCTTCTTCTCTTGTTCTTTCTGGAACATTGCTTTGTTCCATTTGACGTGTTTGTAGAGCATTCGCAAGCGAAACAACACAGTTTCTGGCACCGTATGAAGCATCGGTGAAGTCGCGCTCAGAAGATGACACATCACCCGAAGTTGTAACCGATATAAGGCCTTGTTTAGGAACTAGCGCTTCGCATGTACGTATTGTAAGTACATAGAGTGCACGGATTTATATTTAATTTACCCGTTACAAGCAAAGTCGCTCATATGACTCCGTCACTGGTAATTTCATCGATAATTTCACCGATAATTTCACCGATAATTTCATCGATAATTTCATCGAGATCAGTAACCTGTTAGACGTTTTTGTTTGCTCCTAGGTTGAGCTGTTGCATAAATTTTTTATTTTTCACTTTTGGTTTGTGCACGCCATGTCATGCCATGTTATTACGATAGTTTTACGATTATTATGCTAATTCGAATACTTTGAATTAGGGCGAACTTTCGAGCATAATAGCGACAGAAGGAAGATCATTAAGCGCAGACGTAGCAGCTTGGAATCCCTTTGAGGATACACAGCCGTTCGATCAGTTAACTGAAGATCATATTTTCGGCGCGGAATTTGATAAAATTCGACGAGGCAGTAATACAAGTATTAGTGGAGTAAAAAGTCGTGAAAGTCTGGTTATGACGTGTACAGAATTACCGGAAGATCCATTCGAATCCGCACCTTTTAGTTTGCCAAGTAAGTATGATCGCTATAAAGCTTGGTTTAAAAAGGGACTCATCGATCCGTTTGCATCGTAGAGGCTATCGTAACGTTTTGTTAAGTTCAACTCAGCATCATAGAATGATATACACGTTTTATCTCACGAGAATATTGCTAACGCTTCCGCTTGATTTTAGGAGGAAAGAAGAATAAAATTGGATCGAAGACTGCGGCACTTGCTGGAGGTAATGCATAGATTTGTTCGCATACTGTTTCTTTTTCTATCATATTTTCGTCCCTTACTTTACGAAGCCGTATACCATTTCTCTAATCAGAGTTGAACCAAAAATTCAACTATTCGATCGTTTTTTTGTCCTATTCACTTCCGTTGATGTCGTAATAAGTCAACAATACTTGAAGCTATGTCACATGAAATCGCGTCGCGATCAATTTCAACATGCTTTTCATAGCAAGAACTTTTGTTCGAAGTAATAAGTTTACCTTCCACTAATGAACGCGTTCCGTTGTACAATATATTATAAATTATATATATATATATATATTATACATTATATATATATATAATATCTGTAATTTATAACGCGCTGTACACACAGTTTGCTTGATTCGCATTTTTCTTGTGCTTTAATGCAAACACACGACTGAGGCCAGTCAATCAGTCAGTCGGGTTATGACTTCCTCCTCCTAACATAACATGTGATCGCATTCTATCTATTTTACGAAAAATCCTGATCTATCTAGGATTTAATATCATTTAGGCGTCAAATGTACCGATATCGATCGATATTATTGTTCTAAACATGAAAATATCGACCATGAAAACGCTTACCTCTACGTACGTACATACATACATACATACATACAAATATATCAGAATAATGTGTAGAACTTTAATTGGGGAATAAAAATTGGTCGGCACAGTGTTACGATGCCGTATCGTCGAATACATATATCTAATTTTTCTTTCTTTCTCTCTTTCTTTCTTTCTTTCTTTCTTTCTTTCTTTCTCTCTTTCTTTCTTTCTTTCTTTCTTTCTTTCTTTCTTTCTTTCTTTCTTTCTTTCTTTCTTTCTTTCTTTCTTTCTTTCTTTCTTTCTTTCTTTCTTTCTTTCTTTCTTTCTTTCTTTCTTTCTTTCTTTCTTTCTTTCTTTCTTTCTTTCTTTCTTTCTTTCTTTCTTTCTTTCTTTCTTTCTTTCTTTCTTTCTTTCTTTCTTTCTTTCTTTCTTTCTTTCTTTCTTTCTTTCTTTCTTTCTTTCTTTCTTTCTTTCTTTCTTTCTTTCTTTCTTTCTTTCTTTCTTTCTTTCTTTCTTTCTTTCTTTCTTTCTTTCTTTCTTTCTTTCTTTCTTTCTTTCTTTCTTTCTTTCTTTCTTTCTTTCTTTCTTTCTTTCTTTCTTTCTTTCTTTCTTTCTTTCTTTCTTTCTTTCTTTCTTTCTTTCTTTCTTTCTTTCTTTCTTTCTTTCTTTCTTTCTTTCTTTCTTTCTTTCTTTCTTTCTTTCTTTCTTTCTTTCTTTCTTTCTTTCTTTCTTTCTTTCTTTCTTTCTTTCTTTCTTTCTTTCTTTCTTTCTTTCTTTCTTTCTTTCTTTCTTTCTTTCTTTCTTTCTTTCTTTCTTTCTTTCTTTCTTTCTTTCTTTCTTTCTTTCTTTCTTTCTTTCTTTCTTTCTTTCTTTCTTTCTTTCTTTCTTTCTTTCTTTCTTTCTTTCTTTCTTTCTTTCTTTCTTTCTTTCTTTCTTTCTTTCTTTCTTTCTTTCTTTCTTTCTTTCTTTCTTTCTTTCTTTCTTTCTTTCTTTCTTTCTTTCTTTCTTTCTTTCTTTCTTTCTTTCTTTCTTTCTTTCTTTCTTTCTTTCTTTCTTTCTTTCTTTCTTTCTTTCTTTCTTTCTTTCTTTCTTTCTTTCTTTCTTTCTTTCTTTCTTTCTTTCTTTCTTTCTTTCTTTCTTTCTTTCTTTCTTTCTTTCTTTCTTTCTTTCTTTCTTTCTTTCTTTCTTTCTTTCTTTCTTTCTTTCTTTCTTTCTTTCTTTCTTTCTTTCTTTCTTTCTTTCTTTCTTTCTTTCTTTCTTTCTTTCTTTCTTTCTTTCTTTCTTTCTTTCTTTCTTTCTTTCTTTCTTTCTTTCTTTCTTTCTTTCTTTCTTTCTTTCTTTCTTTCTTTCTTTCTTTCTTTCTTTCTTTCTTTCTTTCTTTCTTTCTTTCTTTCTTTCTTTCTTTCTTTCTTTCTTTCTTTCTTTCTTTCTTTCTTTCTTTCTTTCTTTCTTTCTTTCTTTCTTTCTTTCTTTCTTTCTTTCTTTCTTTCTTTCTTTCTTTCTTTCTTTCTTTCTTTCTTTCTTTCTTTCTTTCTTTCTTTCTTTCTTTCTTTCTTTCTTTCTTTCTTTCTTTCTTTCTTTCTTTCTTTCTTTCTTTCTTTCTTTCTTTCTTTCTTTCTTTCTTTCTTTCTTTCTTTCTTTCTTTCTTTCTTTCTTTCTTTCTTTCTTTCTTTCTTTCTTTCTTTCTATTTCTCCACAATTATTTACTTCTCTTAAACTTGATTGTACATTTGATATTTAACAGTTTCATAACGGAGTAATGTTATTAACGGTATCTACGGAAACCTTTCGTTATATATTTTGTGTTGACTAAAAGTTTTATGGTAAATAGGATTGGCATTCAGTTGAAGGTATAATCAAATTATCAATGACGTTGTTGAGATAAGTGTCACTGACGACAAAAGACAAATGCATATAAAGGATAGGAGGATAGAATATAATTGGGTTGGATAGGACAGAACAGGATAGGATAGAATAGGATAGGATAGGATAGGATAGGATAGGATAGGATAGATTATGGTACTATAGGATAGAATAAGGTAAAATACAATAGAATAGAATGAAGTAAAGTGAAAGTAAAGATAGAATGGAATGGGCTAGAATAGAAATATGAGTAATAATGGTGTCTTATCGTCATGATTTCGAAATGGTAGATTGCGCATAAAATGTCGCAGATCTAAAGAATTGTAATGATATCATCGATCGATTCGTACCATTTAACGTTAAAAAAAAAATGCTAACTTCCAAACGCGCGTCTCTCATTATTAGTTGTTTCGATCGATTTAATTGTTGAAAGATATTCTGCGAAATATGTTCAGATAAACGTATATATATTATATATATGAAATAGTATTATCGGAACAAAATGCTATTGCTCGTGGAAGATAAGAAACCAAAATATATATGGAACGGAGTGTACGCTGTGTAATTGTAAAAAAAGAAAGCTTGAGAGAGAAGTTGAACGATATGTGCGATATTATACATATATTGTACGTATTTGTCTTTTAGCTAATGTGTTTCGAATGTATTTATCGAATAATATAAACAGTAACTGTGTGTGCACGCGCGTGCGTGCGTGTGTGGCTGAATGTGTGTGATAGGGGGCGGGGGTGGAAGAAAAGTTCGAATTTAGATATCTTAGAATTGACTCTATTAGAAACGTTTGTGACGGAAAAATTTCCGGTTGTACATTACTAGAGAAATATCGTGATAAAATTTCATTCGATTGTAGTTCTGATTTCATCGAATGATAGAAGAATAATCCTGCTGCTATCTAAAAATCGTGTATATCACTTCGCGTGATACGCGTATACTGTACACGTATATTCGTGTTGTACTTTTGATTCGGAACGTTCAATCGATTAGTTGTTCGCACGAATTTCAACGAAGTTGCAATAGTAAAATGTGCGTGTAAATAAACCAATTCTGATAGACGACATTAATTTTTCCTCAATTGGAAATCATTTATAATTAAATCGAATATCACGTTTGTTGCTAGCTACTGCTACCTACTGCGCGATGCGTGTCAACCGAATTTGTATAGGCTGATCGATTCTATCGGGAATGATTGTTGTACGCGCGTAAAAATTCGTTGCATCCACTTGTAGAGTTGATCTACCAAGCAACGGATAACAATATTGGTTAACAGTTTTTTACGTTTCTCTTTCATCTCGTGTTCTCTCGTTTATTTTTTTTCTTTCTTCCTCTTCTTTTCTTCTGTTTTCGTTTTCACTTCCGTTTCTTTCCACTTTTTCTTTTCCTCTATCTTTTGTGGTATCGCCTGCAATGATAGCCTTGTATCCTGTTCTTCTTCGTGACCTGTGCAGTGCTTTATGCATTGGAAATTGACTCGTAATATATTATCGTACATTAATTGAACTTGTCAACGAAATATTTCGTTCATAATTCATCGAAGAATTACAATTATCAACAAAATCTCGAGAGCACCGAACAATCTTTATAACATGACTGCCCAAAATTTCTTTACACTTGTACATCTACTAATACTTATTGTCTGGAACAACCTAATGAGTTTGGGAGGCGGAAGCAATTTTGTTTGTCCGATAGAGTGTGTTTATTCAAGTACTTCGATCCGCTTGTGTAAAAAGGAGCTTTGGACATTGTTCCATTTTTGTTTGCCTCCTATTGTGTCGATGTCGGACTCGGTGTCGGTGTCGGTGTTGACAGCGCCGGTGTTGCTGTCAATTTCGATGTCGATGCCGATGCCGACGTGGATTTCTATGTCATGACAGTCGTCTTCAAATTTCGTTAGGATATTGATTGTTTGTACGAATAAAAAACACACCATAGGAGGCTGGCGATCATGAACATCATTGTTATCGCTGTTTTAAAATAATGTTACAGCAATAAACGTGTACACTAAGTATATAGCACATGGAGTATTGTTTTTCTTCTAAATGATATAAAACGCAGCAATTGTTTGTTTCTTATAAATCTTCTCGATTATATGTCTACGAACGACAGTATTCGTATTGTTACGTGTTATGAAGATAATTACTGCGTTTTCTCGCATATTATCCTTACCCCCTGAATCTGATTAGGACTGTTCCAGACCCACTATGCTGATAAAACGAATATAGTAATAGTAGTAGTAGTAGTAGTAGTAGTAGTAGTAGTAGTAGTAGTAGTAGTTGTAGTAGTAGTAGTAGTGGCACTATTGATAATTGATTACTGATTGTAGCCGCAGTAATGACGATATTAGCTGTGGCCAACGGTGATGGTGGTGGTGCCGATGGTGGTGGTGGTGGTGGTGTGGTGTTTTTGTTGTTGTTGGTGGTGGTTATGATGTTTGTAGGAACATACTAAACAATTTTAAACTTCTATTTTAATCACAATAAGCGAACTAGAAATGTGACTCGTTTAATGATTCATGACTCGAACAGCGTAGCGGTGTAAACTGTCTGCAGCAGACCTAATCAGACGTTTTTTATTTCTCTAAATTAGTTTTTCGTTTGGTTTGTTACAAAGTAACGCGAGCGTTTTCTTTATACATAGAAAAGTAATCGAATAGTAACGATGAAATTGCAAAACTGCTAGTTGCGTTTTACTTGTACAATACTTGAAATCTTTTGGAATTCAATATAACTAAAAAGAAAGTATGGAAAGAGATTGACATCTGCACGAGTTTGTGCGAGGATGTACAATTTTATGACATAAACCGATTTGAATATTACGCGTATTTTAGGTAAGTAGAATGAATTTCTGCGCATATTTGAATGCAAATTGGTGAATTGGTGAATCGGTAAACTGCTGAACTGCAAAATTGATAAACCGTTATACTGGTAATTTGGTAAATTGGTAAATTAGAAAATTGGTAAATTGGTAAACTGTGGCTCGGTTTTATTCGTCCATCCGATTTGATTGAATCGATTGCAGTTTCAAATAAAGAAGAAAGTGATGCTGCAGGCTCACTGTCGCGAGCCACTGTACAAACCAGCAATCTTACCAACGGTTATATTATATTTTTCAGACCTATCTGCAAACGGTAGATCGAGAGTACCTTTGAATCAATGGAATTCAGGGATCAACTGCGTCGAAGTCGACGAGAATACGATCCTCTTGACAAACAGTGCTGCTTCTCCACCTTTTGTGCAAGCTCCTATGGAAGACAGATCCAAGTACGAGAAGCTGACGTTCAATGCCGGCGATATGTCTAGTGACAGCGACAAAGATGTGACGCAACAACGAATTAAACAAAAGAGAAAAAGAACCAAGAACGTGTTGCGTAAAAACATGAAAAAGGATACTAGCAATCTGATGAAACAGGTAGGTTCCGCTAATGCCTTCGAACACAAACACAAAGTTGATGCCAACGTGAATGCAAATGGCCTTGACAAAAGTTCATATGGAAAACATGAGAATCAGAGAAGCCGCACAGATCAAGGATGCGAGAGCACAAGACAACAAACTGTTCGAGACAATGACAATGATAAGCAAGATCAAGTGGGCGAGCAAGATAAGCAGGAGGAAGAAGAGGAAGAAGAGGAGGAAGAGCAGGAGGAGGAAGAGATGAGGAGGGAAAATGAGAAGAAGGAAGAAGAGGAGGAGCAAAACCTCGAAGAAGAGGAGGACGAGGAGGAAACCGAAGAGGAAAAACAGGAAGAAGATGAAGAGAAGGAAAGAATTGATGAGAAACGCAAGGAAGAACACGAGCAGGGACAGGGAGGCGATGATGACAGGAATCATGTAGGTATCGAAAAGCATAAACACAAGAAAAAATGTCCTAGAAGGAACGAATCCATTTGTACACCGAGAGGGAAACGTTACAAAAGGAACGCGTCGAGAAAGCGTATAGGTGATTTATTGATACAGGGCCACGCGGATCCAATTGTCGGTCATCAATATGGAGATCAGCCTTTACTATTGGACGATGAGCTCGATACGGAGGAGCCTGCATCGAAATTGAAATTGAAACCAAAACGTTCGTACGGTGATCCATTTGCCGATCAACGATACAATCCGAAATCTGTGTCTTTGGACGATGAAAGTTCGTTGGACGAATGCGAGACGACAGAATTTCCAACAGACGGAACGATCCGGGTCAAGCAAGATGTTTTCTCGTTAGCTCCATTCCGAAGATCCAGTAATTCCAAGAAAAATGACAGCGAAGAAGAGAACGACTCTAGAAATATTGACTACGATAACTTGCCTGACGAGAGAATGGGTCCTATCGAGAACAGATTATTGTCCAAGTACAATTTATCTCGAGGCACTATCACAACGAACAAAGAAACTTGCGAAGGATGCTTACCGTCCAAATTAACATCGAGTATTAATCGTGGACGAATTGGAGAAAACGAGGATAATGGTAACGTGGAGCGGGAGACAGAACTGGAGAGGGAAATACAACGAGAAAAACAACAAGAGAAAGAGAAAGAAAACGACGAAGAAGCAAAAGATAAAGATTTGTTTGGCTCCTCTCCTTTCAGCCCATGTGGTTTTGCAAATCCCTTCGTGCATCGAACACTGTCGAATTACGTTCTAAAGGATGAGTCAAGTCTGCCGATCAGAGGTTTCGAGATTGGAGAATCGTTGTGCGACAGTAACCGCGACAACGTTTCCTTTTGTCCTAATCAGTCGCGGACACCTATGAACGTCCATTCCCTAGTAGAAGCTACTTTCTGCGGCGTAACGAACGATTACGATCATTCCAAAGATCTGTTCGGGTCTGAACCGTTCGACGAGTTTGCTGCTCTTCGACCGGACGAGCAGCGACCACAACAACCACAATCGCAATCACAAGCACAAAGATTGTACCCTCAACAGTTGCCTTCGCCAATGACAAATTTTGTCGAAGGTACATTGAACATGGTACGATCCGACAAGGCCGTGATGTCGAATGTAGCTCGATCGACATCTTCTTCGGTTGATACGACATACTCGATTCCACCGATTCAGCCGATTCAATCGATGCAGTCTGTTCAACGCGCTTCTCGAACTGTCGTTCATCACAGCAACAGCATGTCGAGATCCGATGGTATACAACTGAACGTTTCGGCAATGTCGCCGGAACCATTGGTCGGCTCCGAGGACGTACCGAAACACAAAAGGGATAAATTTAAATCGGAAAAGTCAAAGTATCAATTAATCGACGAAAATCATGGGGACGCAGTTAACGTTCTACCTTCGAGCTTATTGTCCTACAAAGGCAAATCTGCGTGTCACAAGAAAACCGCCAAGACGAAAAAGTGTTCGGTTGTTGTTACAGCTGGCTTCAGCAACCTAAGCTTCGAAGATTTTCCAAGTGACGAGAACGAGGAAAAGCGAATCAAGACGCCGCAGAGAATCACGCCTTTCGAAGTTGTCAGAGAACCCGAGAAACGGTTTGGATCGTTAAAAAGGCGAAGCAATCCGTTCACTTGAGACACTGTCGTTGCGAATGCTGTTATGGAGAAGTTGCTGTAAACAAAATTCTCGGACGAATGGCTATTTAAAAGTGCTATAATTTCGACGTACCTGTTCATACACATAGAAATCGTATAATGTATAGGCGAGGCTAGGCGAGACTAGGCGAGATTAGGCGAAATTAGGCGAGACTAGGCGAGACTTGCCAAAGAATCCCATTTTCCGATATATTTCCCATCACCATTTAGAATTTCATGAATCCGTCTATACTCTGCCATACCATACGTGTTGGTTGTTTGTATCCTGCTCGATGTAGCTATTCTGCTGGCAACGGGTGTCGATGAGATCTCCTCGGAACGATTCCTCGGGCCGTACACTGGTCAACCAGGCTATCGCTTCCGTCTATTTTTCTATTTATAGTGAAGGGCTTTCACTGGTTTGTACTTAAACCTTTGTACACTTTTACTGTAACAGATACTCCTTTGCTGCAGCTACCTACGATTATTGCTCTCGCTCGCCGTTGCTATCGCTATCGCCTATTGCTATTGCTATCGCTATCGCTATCGCCTCTCGCTATATATATATATATATATATATATATATATATATTTGGTGTATGCAAAGAACGATTTCTTACGAGGAGAAGAACTTTTCCATCATTTCTATAATATCACATTGTATCATTGGTTGGAAGGTATGCCAACGAGTACACCGTCTTAATGGGAAAAAATTGCGTGCTCTCGAAAGATCCGAGGGACATAATGCGACAATTACCAACACGATTATGGCCCTTTTCCGTGCGCAATAACAGAGTGAACGGTGACAAATAACACATGCTAATAGATTCTTAAATCCCTATCGATTTCATTTAAAATGAGCAAGTCGCGAAGATTTACAAAGGACTCATTGTAAAGTATTGTAAAGCACTGTAATGCACTGTAAAGCACTGTGAAGCATCGTGAAGCACTGTAAAGCACTATAAAGCACTGTAAAACGCTATAAAATACTGTAAAGGAAAAGTTCTGTAAATCATCGGAAAACATGGACAAGCTTCTTCGCCGCAAATGCTGTCGGATTCAAGTTTATGATCGCAATTGAAATATTACGAATGGTCTGTCCTATTCGAATTCGTATATAACCAGCTCGTGCAACACAGTACCACAAGGAAAAAGTAACCCATATAAGAAAAGAGTTTTTCAAGTCATATACATATAATTGATAGATTATTTATTCTCAACTAATCGTGTAAAAGTGTACAAACTTGTGTGTGTATGCAGGTACGTGATACGTGGCACGTACATATTTACTTGTTCGACATGTACATAGTAGTTAACGTATACGTACGTTATTAATTTTAGGAGCCTTTTTTCGTTAAGTAGCATTTCAAGCTTGAACTCTGTGTTATCGCGTTGTATACGTAAACATGTATACGTATGAACATTACTCGTGTGAAGGGATAAATAGAGTCAATTCTGTCTCGCACTAGAATTTAATAATGGGACGATGTTCTGTTCAAATTTCAGTTCCTAGATATACGTAGATACGAAAGTATCGTGTAATGTTGGAATACGGAAGAACGAACAGGAACAAGTGAAACTAATGCGACACAACGTCGATATATTATAGTAATTAAGTCGAACGAACTTTTCTTTGATCGAAATATCATCGAAAACATTTTGGTAACAATCGGCTGACCCGTTGCCACGATAAGCGACCACCCAACAACATATAATTCTCTGGTGGTCGAGCAAAACAGTATTAACCGAATTTTCGTCAAAATAATGTAAGCCGTAAAAAAAATCTAAGTCTAATGGGACGAAACGCGTATTAGAAATTTGTATGACCAAAATCGAACACCTTATTTTAATATTGTATACTGAATCCACCTTTTCTGTACATTTAATCATTCTGATTTATACCCTTTTCCCCGTCCACCAGAGATTTATTGGCTCAGTATTGCTAGAATAAAAGGTAGGTGCTCTGGGTGGGTTTATTTCTTTGCCACGGTATAGGAACCATAATACTCTTGCACCATTATAAAAGGCAGGCAACAGGCTGCGGCAGAGAATGCGCGCGTGTGCCTACATGCTAGAACGATAGCGTGGTAAAAGTTACACATTCCTTATTGTTTGCTCGTCCATGCGTAATATTTCTTCACTATCCTTTTCACCATACCAGTCATATTGTATACTTGTACAATTAAAACTCTTTTTGATCCCTTCGAAATTTCTTTAACGGTAATTGATGTTTCCTTCTTCCTTTTTTTCTCTCTCTCTTTCCCCCTCACACACACACGCACGCACGCATGCACACATACACAGATGAGGGAAGGAGCGAGAAACAGAGAAAAACTAACGATAAAGAACCTGTTGCATCGAAGTACCGATAGCAAAAACTACGACGGTGTAAATGGTGTGTGCACGGTATGAAAAGCAACCAGACCAATTGTAATGTAACGTAATCTAACGTACTGTAACGTAATGTTACGTAATGTAACGTAATGTAAGGAAAAATAGAATATATGGGCACACGTGTACCGATGATACGTGTACCACTGGGTAGAACGCGTATGATTCAACTACCCCCTGTGAACGACAAAGGAGATTGGAAGAGGACGAAATATTTACTATTAAAGCTGCTCAACAATGACAACGTGTGGTTCCTAGTAATTTTCCTCCTGGCATTTCCTGGCAGTTCTTTCGAGATCGTAAAGCAAACGTGACCGAGCAAAACTATTGTTAGCAACAGCACAACCTTCTGCGCGCCATGATCACGCTCAGCAAACATATAAATGTCCAGACAGAGCAATTCAACCATGTCGATACTATTGATAATCGAAGAGCGAAACCAGTGTCGATTTGTTTATCTCCTCTCCAATAAGTTTCGTCTGGCTGTAAATAATCCATAAAGTCAAAAATTGGCCCGCACGCAAGCCTATTGTGTATCACCTGTGAAAAGGAAGAAAAAATGGCTGGAAAATGTCAAGGATCAAGAAACGACATTCGATCGTGAGAGTGATAACGATAGATGCAAATAACGTATAGCAAATAGCAACTGTGATAGTGATAGTTACCTCGGCTTCGCGACCCGTCGAACCCATCAGATGAATCAGTCTTTTTCTGTACTGTTCGCAGGTTTTATAGTAACCGTCGGTCATAACGATTGCGTGCGCCAACGATAAACAGCAAATCAGAATTGCGAGAAATGCGACCGGTATCCAATGTTTGTACGGTTTTCTACCTTTTCGTCTAACCACCACCGTTGCTACTTGATTGACACCTTTCAGGTTTCTGCAAGAATTGAAAAGAATCGGGATTTCCCAATTTATTATTCATAGACACCGTATAATATACCGAACGATCGTACCTGGTCGCATCTTCTTGAATTTGCGTAGGATTTTCGAAATTTCGACTGATGCAACATCTGTATCCGTGATATCCTCCGAGACAGAGACCAAACAGGATTGCTGGGATCAAACCGTACACTCCAAACTGGCAAAGTTTCACGTCACCGCCCATAAAAGTGCGGAAGGTATTGATACAGTAAAGTATGCAACCGCAGTCGATACTAATACACACGTCCAAGGCCCATGTCCAATATTGCCAGACAGTGACCAAACTGACCATCGAGGTCACGGACAAAATTGCGGATAACACGTAGAGTACGCCCAACACGCACTCTGCTCGTCTTTCATTCATTGTTGATTGGATTGTTAATATTGGTTCGGCAGTTGAAAAGTACACCTGGAAAGCAAAACGAAATTCCAGGTCATAGTTTCACATCCTTTCGTTTATCCCACGCTTTTGTAAACGATAGTAAATTCCCTTGAAATTGTTTTCGAACAGTCGCTAGTCGATACGACGCGTTACTTTTCTTGTTCAATACACGAAATTTCCCTTCGAGAATATTTGAAACATTTCAAACATGATTATGTGTATTAATCTACCACTTATGCGTATATGTATATGTANTGTAAATAATCCATAAAGTCAAAAATTGGCCCGCACGCAAGCCTATTGTGTATCACCTGTGAAAAGGAAGAAAAAATGGCTGGAAAATGTCAAGGATCAAGAAACGACATTCGATCGTGAGAGTGATAACGATAGATGCAAATAACGTATAGCAAATAGCAACTGTGATAGTGATAGTTACCTCGGCTTCGCGACCCGTCGAACCCATCAGATGAATCAGTCTTTTTCTGTACTGTTCGCAGGTTTTATAGTAACCGTCGGTCATAACGATTGCGTGCGCCAACGATAAACAGCAAATCAGAATTGCGAGAAATGCGACCGGTATCCAATGTTTGTACGGTTTTCTACCTTTTCGTCTAACCACCACCGTTGCTACTTGATTGACACCTTTCAGGTTTCTGCAAGAATTGAAAAGAATCGGGATTTCCCAATTTATTATTCATAGACACCGTATAATATACCGAACGATCGTACCTGGTCGCATCTTCTTGAATTTGCGTAGGATTTTCGAAATTTCGACTGATGCAACATCTGTATCCGTGATATCCTCCGAGACAGAGACCAAACAGGATTGCTGGGATCAAACCGTACACTCCAAACTGGCAAAGTTTCACGTCACCGCCCATAAAAGTGCGGAAGGTATTGATACAGTAAAGTATGCAACCGCAGTCGATACTAATACACACGTCCAAGGCCCATGTCCAATATTGCCAGACAGTGACCAAACTGACCATCGAGGTCACGGACAAAATTGCGGATAACACGTAGAGTACGCCCAACACGCACTCTGCTCGTCTTTCATTCATTGTTGATTGGATTGTTAATATTGGTTCGGCAGTTGAAAAGTACACCTGGAAAGCAAAACGAAATTCCAGGTCATAGTTTCACATCCTTTCGTTTATCCCACGCTTTTGTAAACGATAGTAAATTCCCTTGAAATTGTTTTCGAACAGTCGCTAGTCGATACGACGCGTTACTTTTCTTGTTCAATACACGAAATTTCCCTTCGAGAATATTTGAAACATTTCAAACATGATTATGTGTATTAATCTACCACTTATGCGTATATGTATATGTATATATATATATATATATACGCATAAGTGGTAGATTAAAATATACAATATACATGTATATTTATATACATTTTATCACATAAAATGCGGAGAAAATTGTGGAGCAAAATCGATCGTGATCCACGGTTCGCTCTTTGCGGTGCTTTTCACGCGTGATGCAACAGACAACAGATGCTCAATCTCGACTTAGATCGGATAAATATTGTTATAGTTACCGTTTCCTAGATACTATTTTTACGATAACGATTCACTCATGAATTTTTAGATTAGTCAATGCAACCAACGGACCACGGAAAGAAGACTGACTAGCTGGATGGATAATCTCTGTATACATTTAAACAGAAAAACTTGAAGAAATTGTCATTTAGTTAGGACTCGCTAATCAATTGAACACGCGAGTTCTGTTTCTAGTTTCCACATAACTACATGGTATATTATACGTTGCGTATAATGTTTATTATTTTCGTATATGGAAACAATTGTGTGCCGAGATTATCATTGAACATTCTGTTCTTTTGAACTAGGATTTCTATTCTTGATTAATCGTCGCGTTGAGCGTCGTGTTGCGCGTTCCATATTATGTCTTCCGATAAAGAGTATTTGTCTTGTTTAAACATTGCTTACCCGTCTCCGTTGGTAGACACAACGATTTTCAGATAGTCAAAGAAAGCGTCGCACCTCGTGAAAAGAAAACGAAGAAATCTTTTGTTGAATTGTACGCGGTTCTCCAAATAACGTGTGAAATCGCACGAGTACGACTTGAAGAACTCTAACTTTCGGAAGTTCACCGTATAGGATCTTTGTTCATACACGTGCATCTATGAAATGCTGGTACGCGTTTGTTCTGTGAGAATCAGCGGTGGACTTTTATTGATACCCGTGCGATATCTACGGACGTCGAAGATCGTACAAACCGAAACCACTGATATACATTCCGATAGTAAAATTCGGATTATCCAGAGAATCGAGACCGAGATATCTATTTTATTCTCTACTATCTACCACCGATTACAAAGGTGCTATAATTTAGAGGCTAAATAAATATCTTGAAAATACGTATAGAAATGTCCAGGGAACTTTTTGCATTCATTTCATGTAAAAAATATCTATTTTTGCCAATACATATAGGGAACATTCAGTAGTATCGTTACAGATGATTTTTGTGGAGTTAGCCATCAAAAGAATACGTGTTTGGTGAATTCCATGAAATCTATCAATTTTGGAAGTTAAACAAATAGCTTGAGGTTCAGAAATATTCAGAAAATTATCATGCGAAACAGTTAATTTATTATCGAAAATGAATCATCCGCTTCTTAAAATGACAAAACGGCGCCATTTCACGTAGTGGCAAAACTTCGAAACTTGTAGGCAAACATTACCAACGCATGTTAATTCTGTCTAAATGAGTTTCCTGAACATTTGTATATCCTCGGAATATCCTTTAAACTCCTCTGATAAAAGAGATTCAAATACAATATACAATAAAATTACCGATTACCTGGCGTTGTCTTAGTTCCGAGATAATAAGAATTCTACTATTGTAGAAATACTATATACCGTTTACATATTTTCATAGCGGCGGTATTCCAATGTTTGTCACACTCTTGTAAAATATAAATATACTTTGTACCTACAGCACAACGTAATGTGAAATCCGAGCTTCTACTTTATAGCACAGATAATTTTAAATAAACCACTAGATCAGATCGAGAGCTACGCGAAAGAAAGGGCAATGAAAACTGTCGATGCGAAGTATGGGAACACTTGACAGCAGGGAGATAAACTCTGATAAGATTATCATGCGTTACTGCCAACAGTAATCCAGGTGCTGCAAACTGTGCATCTTAGTCACAACGCGTCTCGCATTTGTATTCGCATTCCTGTTTCCACTTCTATTCCAATTCGCATATTGCATTCACAATGGAATATATGTAATTGGACATACTATCCTGAACATCCACAATACAATAATCCAAGTTTGACTTGCACAATTTTCTTTATTTTAATTACAGACTCCTCCTGCGTTTAAATAAACTCGAAGTGGTTATCTTTCAGTATTATTCGAGGTGTTCCGTTCTATGTTCAAATCAAGTTGAATTCGTTGTAAATTTTTAATAATTTCAAATTATGGGTAAATCTCATTTTGACCTGAAACGAAGAAATCAGACGACACTATAACAACAGTTACTAAAAATCTACTGGTATACAAATATAAATTGACATAGTGGACGCTCGAATTGTATCAGCGAGTTACTAGAAATAGGGTCATATTTCTTAAAGAGGAGGAAAACTTCTAACTTATTATTTCATGAGGAGAGACTGAAAAGCAGCAATAGCTTTGTTAGTATTGGGTTTTTTTTAATTCTAAAGATCTACCTATAAGTAGGTAATGTTCAAACTGGGAACACGAATTGTTCGAGGGGGCTCGAGATGAACGAGATATGTTAACATTATTCGAGGGACGTATGGCGTACTGAAGGTTTCGCTGGTACACACAGTCTTACGCTGGATTAATGCTGCGATGCCTTAATTCCAACAAGGTATCTCGATTGCTCCATAAACAATACAGGGATGCTAATCCTAATCCGATGCAACCGCCCATTAAGCATTTTCTTGGCCCAGCTAAAAAGATTTAATGATTAATTTTCCCATTCTATATAATTGGTTATTATGTGAATATACATGTGCTCATACAGATACATAGATATAGATATAAATATATATGTGCAAACCCTTTCAATAGAACATACCCGTTGATTTATACAGCATACCCGTTGACATTGCTGCCGTTAAAGTATTTAAAGAATCGTCTGTACCCCTTGCCCATGACAACAGTACACCGAAACCACTGTACATCACAGATACTATCCCAAATGTATTAGCTAACGATGAACCACTCTTCATCACATAATTAATTAATCTATCGACAAGGAATTATAAGCTATAGTTGGTTATTATACTCCTATCATCCCTCTCAGATTCAATCAACACATAATCAAAATTATTTAAGGTACATACTGAGTTCTCCTAAGTTTACCAGTTTGACCAGCCAATGAAGTTGCTTTAATACCTTTGTACAAGCCAGTCGCACCCCCAATACTAGCTCCTATTATGCATGCTGCTCCAATTTGACTAAATGCTAGTTCAAATCGACCTCTTTGTTTTGCAGCACCCTCTGGGAATATATATTCAGGTTGACTAGGTGACACATATGCAGGATCAAAGTTCAAGTATGGACTGAGTTGTGTTAATCCTTGTTGAGATTTAACTGCAATTCAAAAAAAATATCAGATCTTAATTAGTTCTTAATTACACTGTTTTAATATTTCAACAGCCATGTTATGCATATCTGGGTGATGAAATTATTTGTTTAGATTTAAAAATTATTTTTTATACTAAGCTATTACATCTTCCCAATTTGATTAGCATTTACAAAATATACAGAGGTAAAACTAATTGATGTCATACAACTGAATTTTTCAATTTTACTTTGATTAAATAAAATTCTTCAATTTTATTGAATTTTTTACTTTGTTGGTGTGACAACCGAAGTGTTAATGTTGCATATCAACGAATATTTTGAAAGTATTTCATTTTATATAATAACACAATAAAAATACAACACGGTTTCTCAACGTAATATAGGTTATGCGACTACGAGATTTAGATTGTATATTTCATTATGTGTACAATTTGTGTGTTATTATACTTGGCACATACTCTTGAACGCAGTTTTATATAATACTAATTACCAAATTTCATACCCACGTTGCAAATCGACAAAAAGTAGTAAATGTGCGCAATCTTGAATTACTTAAATACATAAACATATTGTTTGTTTACCTGGTATGTTTAAATCATCGTACTTCTTATTATTCTTCAGATTTTTATCAGTTTCATTTCGCAAGTCTATCATTTTCGGTGTGTCTTTTTATTGAAATTCCAACTAGAATGATTTCTCGAATGTATGCAGATAGTGCTGGCGCCTAAACGAAGACTCCACAGGCAACACGTTCACACGTTATCAACGATCATTTAAATTTTAGTTTTGTTTCTCGCCGCTATGAACTTTTCTCTAGATCTAGAGTTTGTATGTAATTTATGGACAACAAATTGACTTACAATTATTACATATGTATTGTATTATTACGTGTTACGTATTATGTATTAAGTATTATATACATACATGTTATATAATTATTGTATGTACTCTTCATGGTTGGAAAGTATAAAGAAATCACTGAAATGTGAGTACGATTGATTACATTATGTATGTACGGAAAATAAAACGATGGAACCCTCACGCCGGTTTTCCTTTCCAAGTGCTTATCTTACCAATCCAGTAAATATACGATAGCAAGTTTCTCCGCAGCACGTTCATGGAGAACATAACGCGCTAAATTACGAAAGCGGGTCAAGTGCACGTACCCAACAGCTAGCTAATGACAACATATAATGTTATATTGAATTTAATGTTCAAATTTCTTCTCAGAATTACCATTTCAAAATTCATGATTTCAGAACAGACGTGTTAAATAACATACATACTTCCGCAGCCAAAACTGGAAACAGCAATATGAAGATTCTACGTAGATAGATTATTATGTATTAACAATTTGGTTTTGACTACCGCGTTATCTATACGTGGATGGCGTAACTATTTACTCACACTTGAAAATTTCGACGTTAATCTATTGTAGCGTACTAATTTTATTAAGATTCGCAGAATGTAAGAATATTGAAAAAATAATTAATGTCAACTCAACTTTTCAATTTTCATGTCATTGTCTAAATCGAATACTTCAATTTTATGAAATGTTTGAGGTTACCAGCGTGGTAGTTAAAGTGCAAAATGTCGATTTAAATTATTAGAAGCACATAATATGTGGATTTGTAAGAAAGAAGAAAATTGTATTAATCAAAAATATACTTCTCACGTCTTCAGTCTCGACATGTGTCTATTGTTTCGCTTTTCTTGAGTGGTGAGAAAAAACCATAGTTAGATGAGCAACTGACATTTGTTTAACTTTACAAATAAGAGAACTTTCTAGTAAAAGCAACTTTTATTTAAAATAATGCGACCGTCCTTCAAAAGCGTGAAATCTATCCAAGCTTTTAATTATTATTACGGATTGTTAGATTTATTGCTATAGCATTTATAAACATTTTTTTTAATTATAAATAATATTTTAAAGTTGTTTAATGATTTTTCCCTCGCAAAGTCACCCCCCCCCCCTCTGGATAACTACTTCGCGGTGTCGCCGTGGACCAATTAGAATTGCCGATTTATCCTGCAGGGGAGAGGTAATCGTAATCCATCAGTCTTCCTGGACAGCTCATAGAGATCGGATATGGTATCACCGAGTGTGGTACATAATTTGCTTTTTTACATAATTCATTTAAATGTTGTGACTTGGTATTAACAAATTATCAATAATACAATGGCTAGAAGTATGACGTTGTAATTTTTTGTACAATTCCGGCATTTTCATAAGAAATATGTAAGATAAAAGTATTGTGTCGTTGCTCTTCAGAATTCCGACATATCGTGTTCTTTTGCGCTGAGATATTAACAAATTACGTCGTATAATTAATATTTCAAAGTTAATAAATCATTTTGATGTGAAAATCGGTTACTACCGGGTATTCTATTCGATTTTGTCTGATTTGGCTGATAGATACCACTTGCACTGGTAGCGGTGTACCAGAGTCGTGTTTTGGCAGTTATAAAGCAGTTTGAATTTTCGACCAATCACAGGCCACCATTCTCGCGCCTGTCGTAGTTTACGCGGTAAATCATAGGAGTGACGTTGCGGGCTTCTAGCTTCTTGTAATTTGCAATAATTTAGTTGATTTAATAGACTTGTCATTGTTTAAACATAATAAAAATAAATGCGAGGAAGTCATGATGCTAAATTAATTAATAGGAATTTCCTATTAATTTGATAGAAAAACAAGTTTGAAATTACGCTCTCTTCCACTTTAATTTTTTTTGCATAGTAGAAGAGTATTTTCGGTATGTTATTAACACAATGACGAGAACACATAAGACTAGTTTTCCAAAATATTATAATAAGTTGTTTGCATTCACTGTTTCTTTGTATATTTTGTTACTTATTGTTAATATTAACATATATCTTTCTATTTTTCTAGAAGTTTGCTCTTGCCAAGGAAGACACAAAGATATGCAACGAAAAGCTCAAGATTTCAATGTGAGTAAATTTAATAATTTTCAACAATTGCACTTTTTAAATAAATACAATTTAATGAACAATATTTTTATAATTAAATAAAGAATTTAGTAGACTGTTCGCAGACCGTTCATAGGTCGTTTGCATACCATTTGTAGGAAATTGCAGGAATAGTGATAACATGTAGATGCGTGTTTTAAGAAAAGAACTCTTAATAAATTAACAATGTACTTGTATTGGTACTAAAAACAAAAAAAAATTTATTAACAAAGCAAATGTGAAATTAAAATTAAACTGAAAAGGAAATTTAAACACAGTAAAAAAATCAGGACAATTGATAATTTGTTCTTTGTTTTATTATTCTCATTATTTCTTATTTTTAATAATTGCATTACACCATATTTGTTACACAGTTGAACTGTTACACAATTTTATTGATATTTAATGTTGATTGTATTAATTAGCCGTGTTGAACAATATATGTATATATTTATAATGATAAAATAAAATTATTTAATAATGAGAAACGATAAGGATAAACTGATTTAACAATTAAAATTGATACAAACGAAAATTTGGTGTTCTTTCAGTTTATAAAATTAAATTTACCGTCTCAACTTGTCATGAATCAACAGAAAAATTTAGTTTCAGTCCTGATAATTTCAGTATACAGTAAATTGTCTCCTATTGTCCCGCTGTTTATAAATAAAAATGGATAATTTAGGAAAAGGAGGTAGGATTATTCGAGCGTTGCGGCTCATTGTTATAGTCGCCGATTGTCAACAAGTGTTACTACGTAACAGTGATATTTTTAAGAAAAACGCTGTTCACCTTTACTTTAGAACGTCTGAAGAATATTTACTAATTTTTCGGACCCGAAATAGTAAGTAATTTAACCGTGACGGCCGTTTTAATTTTCTAGTGTGCATGACACCTTGTGTGTAACATATGAAATTTTTAAGCAAGGTGTACAGTGAAGATTAACAAAGTACGTAAATGATATTTTAATTTAAATAATTCCGTGTCCGAACACCTGTCTCTTATACACATCTAGATGTGTATAAGAGACAGAAATAATTCCGTGTCCGAACACAGTTCAACGAATGATGTAAAGGCTGTCTCTTATACACATCTAGATGTGTATAAGAGACAGGTGTTACTACGTAACAGTGATATTTTTAAGAAAAACGCTGTTCACCTTTACTTTAGAACGTCTGAAGAATATTTACTAATTTTTCGGACCCGAAATAGTAAGTAATTTAACCGTGACGGCCGTTTTAATTTTCTAGTGTGCATGACACCTTGTGTGTAACATATGAAATTTTTAAGCAAGGTGTACAGTGAAGATTAACAAAGTACGTAAATGATATTTTAATTTAAATAATTCCGTGTCCGAACACCTGTCTCTTATACACATCTAGATGTGTATAAGAGACAGGTGTTACTACGTAACAGTGATATTTTTAAGAAAAACGCTGTTCACCTTTACTTTAGAACGTCTGAAGAATATTTACTAATTTTTCGGACCCGAAATAGTAAGTAATTTAACCGTGACGGCCGTTTTAATTTTCTAGTGTGCATGACACCTTGTGTGTAACATATGAAATTTTTAAGCAAGGTGTACAGTGAAGATTAACAAAGTACGTAAATGATATTTTAATTTAAATAATTCCGTGTCCGAACACCTGTCTCTTATACACATCTAGATGTGTATAAGAGACAGGTGTTACTACGTAACAGTGATATTTTTAAGAAAAACGCTGTTCACCTTTACTTTAGAACGTCTGAAGAATATTTACTAATTTTTCGGACCCGAAATAGTAAGTAATTTAACCGTGACGGCCGTTTTAATTTTCTAGTGTGCATGACACCTTGTGTGTAACATATGAAATTTTTAAGCAAGGTGTACAGTGAAGATTAACAAAGTACGTAAATGATATTTTAATTTAAATAATTCCGTGTCCGAACACCTGTCTCTTATACACATCTAGATGTGTATAAGAGACAGAAATAATTCCGTGTCCGAACACAGTTCAACGAATGATTCGCAAAGCTAATTTAATAAATAATAATCGTGTTAAAGGACGCAAGGGATATGTTTGTTACAGAAATATGAAGAATATTATCAATAACCTTCACATAGCCTTCACATAACCTTGATATGACCTTGATATAACCTTGATATGTTAAGGTCATGTCAAGGTCAAAATATGAAATTTTTAAGCAAGGTGTACAGTGAAGATTAACAAAGTACGTAAATGATATTTTAATTTAAATAATTCCGTGTCCAAACACAGTTGAATGAATGATTCGCAAAGCTAATTTAATAAATAATAATCGTGTTAAAGGGCGTAAGGGATACGTTTGCTAGAGAAATATGAAGAATATTATCAATAACCTTGACATAACCATGACATGACCTTGATATAACCTTGGTATGTGAAGGTCATGTTAAGCTCATATCAAGGTCATGTCAAGGTTATGTCAAGGTCAATATGTGAAATTTTTAAGCAAGGTGTA